TTTTCAGATGAAGGGTGAGTTATAGTAATGTGCAGTCTTTACCATAGTAATGCTTCTATATACAGTATCACTTGGCATAATGTAATGTAAAATGCTGTATTTGATGCCATCTGTCTCCCTTCTTCTGATACATCTCTGATCAGTTCCTCTCCCTTGTGTCCTGCTGTATGTTCACAAATAGCAAAACACACGGTTTTACAAACGAGGACGTCCTCAAAAGAAGGTTTTAAGGTTATTTTGTCAAGTTTTGCTTACTTCTGGGTACCAATTTGTCCCCAAAATATGGTTACAGTAAGTAGGCACACACACAGGTTTTCCTATTAGGAGTAATGGGTTTTATACTGTCTCCCCCTACACTAACCCTACTCCTAAACCTACCCTTACGAAAATTGTTTTTTTTCTCATTGGACCCAAAAAAGGACAATGATTTCAGATATTGCCATCTTTGTGAGGACACTTTGAAATGTTTGAAAAAAGTGCACTTTTGATGATCTGTTGTGATATTAGTACAAAGAGTTTTGAAAATTTACCAATTGCTTGTGAAAATTGCGCCAAAGCAATAAAAAAACTGTAAAGGATGATCTTGTTTTATTATGGTCCATTTAAAAAACATGTACAGAGACAATGACTGAATGACAGTGAGACAATCAGATATGAACGTTCATTTGTGTCTTTATGATAAAGTCTTTAGTGTTTAGTAATATTGAGTGCATTTATCATTGTAATTTGAGCAATGTGAATGTAAGAGCATCAAATGTGGTTCATAGGTCCACAAAAGCGGCTGTGTGTGTGAACACAGATAATAGCACAGACAGAAAACAGCAATGCGACTGATACAGAGATGAAAAGGACTGCCGTGTGTAGTCAACACTCCATCTGTGAGTGGGCGTCACTCCTCAGAGAATGCTGTGGAAAGATCTCCAGCAGAGATGCTGCCGTTTGTGCTGTTAAATCCATTTATACACTATGACATGATTTCATACATCTTCAAATTCCTGTTTCAGAAATACTCAATAACATGTTAACCTCTTTAGTTTATTGATAAGCAATAAACCTTTTTCATAAGACTGAAGATGTACTGATGTCTTTAGGATACAACAACAAATCACTCATTTATACCTACACAAAAGACACAGATCTAATGGTCCAAACAACACATAGCCTGGACTTTGCAGCTCATTTGTCAAATTTACAGGTATTAAAATTAACTCCATCAAACAATTTAAATCTCTTAAAACTACAATGGATTATGCATTTATCAAAGGTTTAATCCCTTCTTAAAGGGGTCATGTGATGCGATTTCAATTTTTCTTTCTCTTTGAAGTGTTACAAGCTCTTGGTGCATAAAGAAGATCTGTAAAGTTGCAAAGACTAAAGTCTCAAATCAAAAGAGATATTCTTTATAAAAGTTAAGAGTCAGCCACGCCTACCTAAAACGGCTCGTTCTAACACGCCCCCACATGTCTACGTCACGATGTGGGAAGATTTGCATAACACCGCCCAAATGTTCACGCAAAGAAAGAAGGCGTAACTTTTATTCTCGCTGTAGTATTGTTGCTGCCGCCACCATGTCCTGAAGACGCTGTGTGCTTCGTTGTGAAAGCGAAACTACTTTGTCTGG